TATTAAGATATTAAATACTTATTATAAAGAGAAATTTTTAAATTTTAATACCAATAGTTTTCTTTACATGTTCTGTGGTAATTTGCAAAAATTGACTTTACTCTATGGACCTAACCAACAAAAAGTAAAATGAGTAAAATCATGGTAAAATTGAGTAAAAACAACTAATGAGCATTATCTAATACAATAAAGAATATCATCTAGATATAAAATGTAAATAAAGACTTTAAAAATATTGTCTATGTAAGAAAAGTTTTGTTTTATCATAAATTGTTTTAATCGCATGTTGACATCCAATTCATTATCTATTGATAAAACATAAACTCGAGTTTTATAAGAAATTAGTGTTAGCACATTTCTGCTTTTGCATGACAATCAGCTGCATCTCAAAAATGTCTTCGCTTAAAAGTACCACTGGATTGCTAAAAAGACTACGAACTTTAATGAATGATACTAAATATGTAAGAGATCCTATAAGTGCATACATAGTTCCAACCAACGATGCCCACACTAGTGAATATATTGCTGATGCCGATAAAAGACGAGAATTCATTTCTGGATTCTCGGGCTCTGCAGGAACTGCTATTGTAACACTTCAGGATGCACGACTGTGGACAGATGGACGATATTACCTTCAAGCTTCACAAGAATTGGATTCAAATTGGAAACTTATGAAGGATGGTTTACCGGATACACCATCACAAGGTAATTTAATAATTACTTAGTTTTATTTGCAAATCATCTCAACAACCTGCAAATATACCTAAATTCATTTTGTCACAACAGTAAACTATTGCTAAACATAAATGTAATAAAACAAATACAAAGTTTTTAAAAGTTTTGCTGTATTCTTGTAAATATAATAAGACTGCATTTATTGTAGTGTAGATGACAAAATTTTGTAAGTTTTTTAGTAAACAATGCATTTTATTGAGTAATAAATGTATTAGACATGTTTTTATTTAAAAATATTTTAAAGAATTAAGTTCATATACTACTACTTCGTAGCATCATTTTTGTAAGTTGGCATCATTTTTAATATTTATAGTTTCAAAAATTTTTTATTTCGTTTTACCGTTTATTATTAATTTTAATTACTTAACTAAAAATGGATTTAGTATAAAATTTTCAGAAGTATGGTTATCTAAAAATTTACCACAAGGAGCAAAAATCGGTGTAGATCCCAAGTTTATTACCTATAGGGAATGGGTGTCATTACAGAAGCATTTGGAATCATCTGGTCAGGAACTGGTTTCTGTAGAAAATAATTTAATTGATCTCATTTGGGATAATAAACCTAAGACTCCAAATAATCAGATAATACCCCTAGATCGTAAATACACAGGAAAGTCTGTTCTTGAAAAGCTAAAGGAAATTAATAAACAAATGACTGAGAAAGGTGTCGGTGCTTTAGTTCTTACTGCTTTGGACGAAGTCGCGTGGTTTTTAAATTTAAGAGGATCAGACATTGAATACAATCCTGTTTTCTTTGCTTATGTTGTAGTGCTTCAAGAAGACTTTGTCTTATTTATTAACAAACAATCCTACACTAATAATATAGACAATCATCTGAAACATGAAGCACCAGGTATCACCTTCAAAGTTGAGTCCTATGATCAAATAGGAAACTATTTAGAAACTTTAGCTGAAAACCTTAAAGAATCTGTCTGGTTTTATGATGAATCAAACAGTTATTTAGTCAGACTGTTAGATAAGAAAAAAGTTTTTATTTCAGATATGTCCCCAGTTAGTCATATGAAAGCTGTTAAAAACCAAAATGAAAGAAAAGGAATGCGTAACTCTCATATTAAAGATGCAGTAGCTCTTTGCAGTTATTTTGAATGGCTAGAAAGGGAAATTGCTAGTGGAAACAATGTAACTGAAATTTCAGGAGCAAAAAAATTAGAAGAATTTCGAAGTCAACAAGAAGATTTTGCTGGGCCCAGTTTTGAAACAATTAGCTCTGTTGGTCCACATGGAGCCATTATTCACTATGCACCTAATGAAAAAACTGACGTTCTTATAACAGATAAAGAATTATATCTTTGCGATTCGGGTGGTCAGTACTTAGATGGCACCACTGATGTTACAAGAACTTTGCATTTTGGCACTCCTACTGATCATGAAAAGCAAATGTTTACATTGGTTTTAAAAGGGCAACTTCAGCTTGGTAGTATCGTTTTTCCAAAGAAAGTGAAAGGAAATCGTTTAGACGCATTTGCTCGTCAATTTTTGTGGAAGGTGGGCCTTGATTACAATCATGGTACAGGTCACGGTGTCGGCTCATACCTTAATGTTCACGAAGGTCCAATGGGAATACATAAAAGAGACATGCGTGCCGACCCAGGCCTTGAGGAGGGAATGTTTTTATCCAACGAACCGGGATATTACGAAAACGGAAAATTTGGAATTCGAATAGAAGATGTCGTGGAGATTGTGCCTGCAACGACCCCTTATAACTTTGAAAATTTACAGTTTTATACGTTTAATACTATTACATTAGTACCTAAGCAAACCAAGCTGATAAAAACTGAAATGTTAACAGATGAAGAAATTTTGACTTTGAATAATTATCACCAAAAATGTAGAGATGTCTTAGGTCCAATATTAAAGACGCAAAAACGGTTTGATGTTAAAAAATGGTTATGGAAAGAAACTGAACCAATCAGTAAATAATTATAATTTACAACGTATAATATACATAAGTTGTCGGGCATTTATAAGAAAATGTAAATGGGTTATATGAAATAAAAAATAAAACACTTATTCAAAATAATTTTAAAATATGATATTGTTAAATTATTTCTTTTTAGCTTTAATATTAATCTTTTTTTGTTGTGGTGGCAAATCTATCTGCACATTTTTCTTGCTTTCTAAGCGCCGTTCTCTAGCTTTAATTTTATCAACCCACATAAAAGCACATTTCAATAACAAATCATAAAACTCAATAAATGACAATGGATAGTCCATGTTAACTATCGTCTCATCTTTTACAATGTTTGGACAGACATCTTCTAGACATTTGCGAACCCTCTTTGGACCAAGTAGTCTAAATATAATCATATTGTCTTGAAATTGTTGATCTTCAATAATCGGAACTACTTCTTCTGATTGTGAAACTATTGGTTCTTCACCTGATAAAAAAAGTACTTAGTAAAATGTTGACAGAAGCTTATATATCGTATTAAAAGGTTGGTTCTGAATGTGATTAGTCCTTTCAGGGACGAGTATACAAAGTAGAAGATGTGTTCTTTTTAATAAAATATTTTGTTTCAGATGTTGTAAAAATAAAATCGTTAATGAAGGATTTGCTAGTACCTTCTTTTAATTAAAAATATAAGAAAGTAATTACATAAAATGTTGTTCTACCTGGTATAAAAATAACGTTATTTCCCACAGAAGCACTGTTGATGCCACTATATAATCTCTTATGAATTTTATCCTTTTGAAAAGTTAAATAACATGGAGGAATTTGGTTTTTTCGTATACATGTCTTAGAAAGGAACATCTTTGCCGATTTGGATTCCCCAAAACTTCTATAAAGTAAGTAAGCACTTCTGATAGGTAACAGATCTCTGTATTCAAACAGACAGTAAGCTAAAAAATAGTGAAGGCCTTAAAAAAGTTTAATATAAGGCAAATAAAACGTCTTTAATATAGAAAGGCAAATTAAAAGTAAAAGGTGAATTCGATATTGATTATAATAAAATCGCTGTTATTAATTTTTAGCTATTAGTTGTTTAAAAAACTGGACCAAAAGTTGTTAAATTAAAAGTTTTTTTTTTATTACGCTGACAATTTCAAAAACTTATATACCTGAGTAAATGTTTACCAAAACGAAAAAATAGAACCTTTCATTATTAAACACAAATAAACAAAGATGAAATTAAATCATTACACTCTGTGAGTTAAATTAATTCATATTTGTTTTGTTTAAATCAAAATAATTTTTGATGTAGATAACAGGATGTTTATACCTCTACTTTTTCCAAACTTTGGCAGTACAATTTCATCTAAAAATTTTGTAAAAACGCCAGCAAGTATCCCTTCACTGGTGTCAAATTCGATTTTCTGTTTAACCATGTAAATATGTAATGCTAATGTAATAATTACATGCAAAAATTGCCAAAAGTAAATTTTCTCAAAGGGGTAGTGTTCTGTTTCTAAATTACACGCATCGTTTTTATTTAGCAACATATCCAATTCATCTATACTGTAATTGTAATGTAAAATTCCTATATCTCGAAAAAACTGCCAAAGCAGCAAACGGACCATAACAACATTATAATTAGTTGTCTTCTGTGATGTTAGAGTGGCATAATATTTGTACACATCCTGTAAGGACAGCATACGCTTTATTATAATCTCCCGAAATCGTTGTTCCTCCAGTTCAGGTGAAAATTCCGTTTCATTCTCCACTTCATTTTCTTTTGGTGGATTTAGCCTGGCTTCTACGATTTTTACAAATTTTTTACCAGTTGCGACAGAACTTGCCCATAAACCAAGGTCAGTAGAAGTAGTAAAATGTACATCATCTGCCTGTAAACTAATTAAATAAAAGTTTACTAAATAATATTTGTACGGAAAGGAGACTCAATGTTTTCATTGGAGTAATTATGCCACTGTCGAAAATAGCGTCAAACTTGTTGAACAGTTCTTATAGTAGTGGTTGCTCAAGCACTTAAAGCAATAATTAATGTAATATACAATAGCTGGATGTTTTTTTAATAGTTCTCGTCATTTATTGAGGTCAGTTACTATCTTCTCAAAACAGTTTTTTAATTAGACATCATGTTTTAATTTTTGACTTCTAAAAAAAATAAGCGCATACTTACGCTTTGTCAATTTCGGAAGATTTTGTATGTTTATCTTCCTCTAGATGATCTATAATAAATGTTAAATAATTCGCAATATCAATTTCTTCAGGTGCTGCATACATGTCTATGCCAACTATTTGATAGGGTTCGCTCTTCATATTGGTAGTTGTACCTGTAGTTTCGTTGATCGCATTTAAAAGTTCGTTGAGGTTTTTTTTGCATTTTTCCCCATCATCATTTAGTGTTTTTGATGGTATTATTACGAGATTATCAGTAGTACCGTCACTTTTTTCACTACTTTTTGGCGCAAAAAAGTTCATATATATGTGAGCTGAATGGGTATTTGCAGGCTTATCGAATACAAATAGTGGATCACCTTCGACTGATTTTCCGTTTCCACAAATAAAAACACCAGGGCCATGTTTATAATCACACTGCCATATGCCGGCAAGTTTTGCCCCTCCTTCTGTCCCAAAGTCCATTATTCCTGTAATATTTGGATATTAGAATATTAATTATTGTGATCTACATTCATTAGAGATGTGGTTCCAAACACTCCAAAGAAAATTAATAATTTATTGCTTCTATAGCTTCTAAAATTATAATGGGTATAAAATAGGTACCTGCTCCATCGCGCATTCCTTGTAACCATGAACCTTTAAAACTATTTCGTATTGGAAAAATTAATGTTCTGGTTAATATGGCATTCCATGTGTATTCTCCATAACCGTTCATCAACCCCTCTTTCCATTCACCTATATAGATCTAAAATGAGCTTTTTAATTATTTTTTTTAATGTTAGAAAAGTTGTAATTTAATAGAAAAGGTAAGGGAATGTAGTATTTTTATCCACGAGTAATTTTAGTACTACTATTATTTGTTTTCGGGTTTCCCGGCCGTTGTCTTTGGAAATTCCCGACGTGTCGTCTTTCATTGGTAACACGTTGCTCTTTTCGGTCTTAGTTGCCTTAAGTGCTGCGTAGTACAAACTAGTGCTAGTAATTTCATTTTTTAAAGTCCTCTTTTATTTCTTTTACTACTAAAAAATTCGACAATTTTTTAAATTTCTTACGTCATGATTTTGCCAGACCATCGTCCCCGCTCCATGCTGTAATCCTTTTAACCAGTGTCCTTTATACGACATGTGTGAATCGTAACGTCTCATTCCGTATCCTTCATAATAATCTTCAGCCCATTCCCCATCATACCAAACTCCAGGTTTGTACAATAGCCATCCTTTGCCTATTTACATACAGTTTTAATAATTATAAATGTGTTTTTAAGATAAATAATATAATTAAAAAATTAAAATAATTATTTTATATAAAAACAGTTTTACTAGTAAACTAAAACGAATTCATAACTTTTTGAGAATTTAATGAATCGTACAGTTGTGGAAATGGGGTTTATTTTGTTTGAAAATAATTTTTAAACGTTTAAATATTACTGAAAAATTTATTTATTTTTTCTTCATTTTCACAATGAATAAGGCGAAATGAGTGCCACATAATACGTAACTATCATGTAGATTCTTTTCCGCAGTTTCTTTTTAAAATTTCTAGTAACAACTTATGTAACCCACAAGTCATCGGAGTATTCTGATTTGTACTTAGGTATAAACTTAAGAGGAGTTTTTTTCCATAGTTTTTCTTATAATATTTATCAAGAAGACATTTACATTCCTACGCGTTAAGATAAAACACCAGCTTTGATTCGATTTGACATAACTTTTCTAATAATATAACAATTGTTTTGTTATAATATAGATATTACTCTGAAACTGATGTTAATAGTTCTACAATCTATTAAAAGAACCACTTGTGAAATAGGAAATTTAATTTTACTGAATTACCATTGTACGTAATCGGTACTCGGTAGAGTCATTTCAAGTAAAGTGGAAATTCAGAATAGATATTAGTATTGTAAACAATAATTATATAACCTTTTTTAAATTGTCGTGTTAGTTTGGTAAAAGTGGGTATATTAATATACCATGGAAACCTAAGAGATGGTACTGTTATTGGAAAAATAATACACGAAGGAATAAAGGTATGTGTTTTACACAATAAAAATCTATCAAATTAGTTCATTTATTGTTGCAATTACTATAGTTTTGTATGGGCTAAACAGAAAATATCTGTGTTGTTTTCACAAATTTCCTTAGGATATTCACTTATATTATTTCAATTATTGAAGTCTTAAAGCTATTTGTGACAGTGCCATTTATTCAAAATTATAACATTCAATTATTATATAAAATAGGTATTGTATTCCTCCTGATGCATTATAATATGTATCTCATTGAATATTGGGTAAAAATATAAAAAATGACAATGTTGGTATGCTTTTGGCTGCTTCATACAGAATGTAACACATGTTCCGATATCCGATTGCCATCGCCATTTATAGTTCTTTAGAGCGGCAAATACCAAAAAATGTAGGTAACTCAAGTGAGCTTTCTTCAACTTAAATACAGTTAAAAAAAAGCAAATAGTTTAGCTACACTTTAAAACTCTTCTATGCAATATGGCATCCTCAATGGTAAAAAAATAATAAAAATCAGCTCAGCAAATCGCTTATAACAATAACATTAGTAGCAATATTTTATAAAATAACACTTACCATGTTTTTTTCCTCTTTTCCACTCTCCATTGTAGAGCATCGCAGAGGAATGAATAAATTTAATACCTTTTCCATTCAAAATGCCTTTACAGAAATCTCCTTTGTAGTAGCTCAAATCAGAGTAAATTAATATTCCTTTTCCTGTTATTTCCCCATTTCTAAATTCACCCTGCAATTGTCCCTATTATCTTCTAAATATTTNTCGAAAAAGGTTGTTAAAGGTGTATGTTTGGAGCACGGCGCTGTACGGGTGCGAAACACGGACAGTAGGCGCGACAGAAAAGAAAAGGTTAGAAGCCTTCGAAATGTGGTGATACAGGCGAATGATACCGTGGATAGAGAAGGTTAGAAATGAAGAGGTATTAGAAAGAATAGGAGAACTCTATGAAAGTCAATAAGAAATGGGTAAGATAGGTTAGTAGGACACCTTTTCAGGCATGAAGGTCTAGTCAGAGACATATTAGGGGCAGAAACGGAAGTTAGGAGGGGTAGAGGTAGACCTAGATTAGAATACTGTTCGCAAAAAATTAAGGATATGGGTTGTTTTAGTTTTAGGGAAATGCGAAGTTTAGCTCAGGATAGGAAAGAGTGGAGGTACGTATCCAACCAGTCTTAGGACTGATGACCTTACGATTATGATGATGTGCCTTCTTCAGGTAGTGAAGATATGAAGTGTTTTTATTTTATTATTTTAAAACTTATTCAAATACAAAAATCGTAGGCAGCTTTAAATTTAACCTTAGGTTATAAGTAAAAATCTTAAAATAAACTCGACATTTTCAAAAGGAAAATACGCTGAAAGGTCTTGAGCTGCTTTTATACGTACGTTTATGTTGGAGATACGAAGATTGGCTCAAGAAAGGAAAGAGTGCAGGTGCGTGTCCAACCAGTCTTAGGACTGACGACCTTACGGTGATGATAAGGAATGTAACGTGGTTCTGTTATCAGACAGTTCGTTATATAATTTAATAGAAATAAGAATAGATCAAGTACTTAGATAAACTTTGAATGTACATAAATAACAGTACGGAAGGTTGGAATAATCGTTTTATTAGCTATCTAGTAAACACAAAATATCCTCCCATTTGAGTCCTGATAGAAAAAATGAGACAAGAAATTGCAAAACTGCAAGAAACACTTCGGGCTTTGTGTATAGGGTATATGCAAGTACTTTATGAAAGCTACTGGTGATAACATTGCGTCCAAATTAAATTTGACTTTTTAAATCATATGATAACGTTTGGAATAAAGTGTTTTAGTTGACGCCTATATTGAATTTAAATTAAAAAAATTATTTCTATGAAGAAATTAATTCTCAACGTGGCCACTTTTAGTACCGATAAGTGACCGAGTGTGCAAACAGTCTAAGAAAAAGAATAACCACATGTAGTTAGTCAAAACAAATGGTTTACTTCATATTGTGTTCCGTCTTTCCAAACAAATTTCCCAATTCCGTGAAATAAGGTTCGGTAAATGGGACCTTGATAATAATTACCGTTTTTAAACATTACTTTGACACTATCAACGGTAAAGAGGTATGATGATTCTGTTTTTACTGTTTCGCCCTGTAAAATACATTTTATTTTGTAAAATAGCACACATTTCTTCCTATATTTAAAACAGGAAGACATATTTTTCTGATTGAATACTCATTGCATATTTATAAGCATTTCAATTTTTTCATTAAATACATTTTTGAAAATCTCTTAGCCCATCTAGTTAGACATCTTACTGTCCATGAGCCCCCTAGAACATCATGGTCTTTTTAATATTTTTGGACCATTATAAATATGGTTCTGAATTGCATTTTACCATGCTTTTACCGGACCCTACAGATTCGTATGGATGGTCCTTATAGGTAGACACAACACCCATAACCCTCTCTTGTTTCCTTCTGTTTATTTATTATTTCATAAGCATTTTCTGTTTCTCATTTTACACGAAGAAAATGAAAAACGAAAATTTACCTAAATATTAAAGCGATATTTACAAATTATCCCACTAGCCCGTTGCTTCGTAAGCCAAACAATAAAAATTACAATTTGGACCCGAATTTGTAAAAATAAAATCCCAACAGAAATAAATTTACCAGGTATTTTAGTTGATATTAAAAATTTAATTGTAATAATTAAGAAACTTGAGATAATTTTAAAAAAAAAAATTCAAAATTGAGATTACAAGTTACCTAATAAATTCTACTATTTCTACGGCAAATTCAGTCATTTACATTTTTTGCGTTGTCATAAAAATTTAGTTTTTTGCTTGTATGATACGTAACGTTATCGAAAAATTGCGGCGTGTGGACAAACGCGTTTTAGTAGTTACTTACCGTTTCCGTGCCCTCCAGATTAGATTGTGAGGTGAATTTTCCTGATTTTGTAGAAGATTCTCCTTCCTTGGATTCTTTCTGCAAACCTTATATGGTTACATTATTATCGTTTGTTTACCATAAAGTACAGTTTTTAATAAAACATTTTGCTTTAAGTTTAAGTACTTTACTGATATTATTCGAAGTAGGTAGTAGCGTTGAAATCATAATATCAGAATGCTAGAACTGGTAATCGGAAAAAATCCTCCGGGAAAAAAGCCCGAGGAAAAGAATTCCTCCTCTGCAAAAATTAATATCTTTGGTTTATTATAAGGTAGATAATAAATTTTATTAGGAATGTCAGATAATTCAGGATGGAAGCAGTAGTAAAGATATAAACCAGAGGATAGCGCAGGATAGAGTCGCCTTCAATAAATTAGAAATTAATTTAGAAACTCGAAAAAGGTTGTTAAAGGTGTATGTTTGGAGCACGGCGCTGTACGGGTGCGAAACACGGACAGTAGGCGCGACAGAAAAGAAAAGGTTAGAAGCCTTCGAAATGTGGTGATACAGGCGAATGATACCGTGGATAGAGAAGGTTAGAAATGAAGAGGTATTAGAAAGAATAGGAGAACTCTATGAAAGTCAATAAGAAATGGGTAAGATAGGTTAGTAGGACACCTTTTCAGGCATGAAGGTCTAGTCAGAGACATATTAGGGGCAGAAACGGAAGTTAGGAGGGGTAGAGGTAGACCTAGATTAGAATACTGTTCGCAAAAAATTAAGGATATGGGTTGTTTTAGTTTTAGGGAAATGCGAAGTTTAGCTCAGGATAGGAAAGAGTGGAGGTACGTATCCAACCAGTCTTAGGACTGATGACCTTACGATTATGATGATGTGCCTTCTTCAGGTAGTGAAGATATGAAGTGTTTTTATTTTATTATTTTAAAACTTATTCAAATACAAAAATCGTAGGCAGCTTTAANTGGAAAGACCATCGACCCATCTGGTGACTAACGCGAAGGGACGTTACCTGCCGAGGAAAAACCTAAATACAATAACGATAACATTCCTTTGTTGCAGGCACGTTATTATAAACTTAACACTGCGAAATACACAAATGTTTTTCGTTGTTCAAAAGGCGCATCAGGGGGGTTCCAAAAATCATAAAAATCGTGTGGCGCAATTTAGACGTAGGTCGCCCCTTAGTTATATAATAAACGTTAAATCATGTACTACACGTTTTTTTTTGTTGATGATCTGCAATAGTACTTGCTTGCTTTCATCATTTGTTTTTAAATAGCACTGTAGACTTATACCCATAAAGCAAGAATTCTTGCCCATGATAAGATAAACTTTTATTTTATCTAGATCCAGTGAACAAAAACAAAAAAAGTTCGTAACACACACTTGAAGCGTTCAAGTAATACGCACAAAAAGGCGGTTGCTATTTTTCTTGCCTGTTTATTTTCTGTCTTAATATTATATATAAAAGAAATTATGAGTGGTCAACACAGGGCAAAGTAGTATTACGTAGTTAGTATCAGCAATTTCTTATGCTGAAGTGTACGATGTGTTGCATA